GGGCTCCAGGTAGTCTGGTAATGTAGGTAGTAGAAATATACCCAAGCAGTCGCTGCAGAAACAGCAACCTGTGTACGCGAGATGAACGCCAATACTAGCACTGTGGCACTAATACCCCTTCTGGGGCTCACTAGCATTGGCACCTGTGAAAGACAGGACTTCCATTTTCTCTGGCCACATCCTGGAATAACATCTCTTGTCCCACTCTTCGTGACATTAACACTGGTATCGGTGTTATTCAGGCCTGCAAACGGTCTGCTCCAGATCCCACGTCAGGGCAGACAGAACTCCCAAGGCTGGGCTTCGCGTTCACAGCACCATTCTTCAAAATAAACAAGAAAATCAACACAAAACTTTTCGGATTTTTATTTATTTTATTTTCTTAGAAATTACAAAGAAACTCTCTCCAGGAGAGCGAGGGAAAAAACCCCAACCCTGAAATATTTCCAAGCCATTCGTTCCATATAAACACAAGCGAAGTTACATATTTCATTCGCACGCATGTACAAAAACATTTTAAGCAAAACATCCTTCACACGTAACATATGCATTAGTCTCAGAATCAAGCACATAATCAGATTGGCCTCACCTACCCTACCTAATCTTATTTTCCTGTTTTCTTTTTAAATTGTAAATTTCTACGCAGGAAACATCTCTTTTTTTTCTGCACAGCATTATGCATATTCAAATTCCATGGTCTTGGAATTAAATCACTAGGTATCACAGTCTGACATACAGCTGTATACTGAAGTTGTTACACTGCCATTTATACAGCGAACTTTGTTGGATATCAGGCAAAATTCTTCAAAAGGAATAAAAAGGTATTGCTAGAGGGAAAAGAAGAGTATGATACACAGTGCGCTCTCAACTACAATCCTGTCTGATTCCCATGCAAAACACTTCAAAAGCCAAGTAATTCACAGATCTTGCTCTCCAAATTGATATCAAAGTACCCACCAATTTCAACCATGGCAAAATAAATCGCTAAAGACATCAATGCTACTGGAAATGGATGTGGTCGATACTCAATATTCCAATTTGCCATCCACCCACCTTTGGAAAGAGAAGGGAAAAAGATGAAAGAGCCAACAAAACTGCAGCCCGCTGAAGCCGGTGGGTCGACAGAGCACTTTACCAGCGACCAGCAAAAAAACAACTGCGAGGGCTGAGCTTCGCTCCAACCCACTGCATAACCTAACTGTGGCTTGAAATTTGGGGATTACATGGTCCATGAACTCCTCACTAGTTGCCCAAGGCTGCATTAACACCTAGCAAAATATTATCTGATTCATCAAAAAAGCGTATTGTCTGTACCTGACTCTGGGAGCTGGATTTGAAACGTCTCTATTTCAGGCACGATGAACACCACTGTAAATCTAAGGACGGTAAATGTTCAGAGCAGAAAGGCTCACCCAGAAGGTAAAGCTTCCACATGTACAAAAGGAACCGTCAAGCACACAAATGTCAGAAGCAACACTTTGCATAATAGGGAGAACGGGAGGTACAGATTTTCTCTGCCATCGTTTTTAAACGTACAAACGATGCTGATGCATTTCCCAACGCTGCATAAAAACGCGTTCTGGAGAGAATGAATAACACCTCTCTCTTAGACTGCAACGACACAGCTGAATCAATGGAGGGTGAATTTCCACTGTATTCAAATATACTTGGAGGACTCGGGATTGGCTTGCTGCACAGTGTGTGTTACCGGGTGAAAGGGGTGTGGAAAAGGGATGTGAAATACAAAAACACAGTTAAAAGTAAGACCAAACAGCTGTACATGAGCCATACAAAGAAAGCACTTACGGTTGGCACTTAGGAGGTTTAACCACAGCCCTGGAGAACAGCCGATTTTCATTTCTAGCCCGCTGGAAATCTTGCACATGAGCAAGCGAGGCTGGTAGCAGCCACTCTGTCCTGAACGTAGCGCAAGGGACTTTACTGAGGCGCCCCGGCCTCAAGAATCCTTTACTACAACAGTTTGGCAAAGCATCTACAAAGAAAGGCCCAGTGCAGGTGTTTTCACACAGTACCAAAGACACAAGGGCCAAACTAAGCTGGGTCTGGAGGCCCCAGCCTAGCGTATTCTGTGTGCTGTGGAGAACACCGGATCTGCTGGTTTAGGTCTGCTTTTAGCCCAGTACTACCATTTCAACAGCAAGCTCTGCGAAATGTCTAGAAGAGAAAAAGCACCGGCCCAGTAGGAGAAGTCTCCTCTGATTCCCAGGCAGGAGCAGGGGAAAGTCAGGTCACTTAACTCAGACACCGATGGTGTGGATGTCTTCAGCTGAGGTCGTCAGGTTGAGCTCGCTTTATGGGCACACAAAGGAAAACCAGACTTTTCCAAAAATGCCACTCATCGGACCTGCTTTATACTTCAAGGCCAGATGAACGGTGACCTAAGAATGGCTGTTGCTCTTCAGGTGCAAGTGGGGCCCAGAGGAACAAATTTAGCTGCAGACACCTAAAGCTGAGTGAGAAGATACCACCCAAAATGCCTGCCTTGTACCTGGGCAGTTGAAGAGCAAAACTGTCCTCTATTTCTTCACGATAAGCTTAAAACCAGTACCATACAGAGGTGAGTAACATTTCAGTGTCCACCTGAGCATTCTCCAGCCAGCAACAGTCCTACCCAAGAGGAAGAAAAGCTCCCAACTCTCACAAAACTCTCCGAAGGAACACAGTGCCTTTTTTGAATAGTAACTAAATCCCAAACACGCTTCTAAGAGGCAAACACTACCATTCTCTTTTTTACAGCTGAGAAAACAGGGACATTGCAGCATGCCTAATGGTGACTCAGAGGGAATCAAAATAAAGATCTCCTGATGCACTGGTCCACTGTTCTTCTACTGACTAGGCTTCAAATAGTTGGAATTTACCCCCCAGGAAAAACCTTTAAAACTGTGATGGACAATTTTAACTCCAGTGTCCGTAAAAGCCTGTGGTCACACATTCCTATTAGACATTGAGGAATTTTATGTTTGGCTTCCACTTCTATAGTGGAAGAGAAATACAGTTAGGAAAAAGAATTAAGGCTAGGCATGTTATACAGAAACAAAAATACTATGCCTGGAGCCCACTCTTTCAAAAGATAAACTTGCAATTGTAAGGACAAATGGGAGGTTTGGTAAATCTCCCTCGAACATCCCAATGGGTTACAGGTATAAAGCCAGTTTAAGTGGCTGTTCATTCTTGATTCATGTTCATTCTAGCTTTTTTGAGAGAGTTACTCACTGAATCAAGTTAAAGACCGAGTTGATCAACTGAGGATTGTGCAGAAGAAAAAAAAAAAAGCCATCAGTCAGCTGAGCCATAAAGGCAAGCAGCAAAATAGATTCTGTTTCAGACTAAGTTGTCAAGATAACAACTTTGAAGGGGGAACCTCAGCCAGCCTGAAGTTGCTGCGCTCAATCCAGTGAGAACAAAGGAAAAGTTTGCATTGCCAGTACTGGCTCACACCAATAGTAAAAGCTGCTTAGTTCTCTCCAGAAAACCACATCAACTTCCCCGACTAGACGATCAAGAAATCAGCTAGGGAAGAAGCTCTGCTGGACTTGTTACTAACAAGGAAGAAACGGTGGAGAATGTGAAGGTCTTGGCTGCAGCAGATGTGGAATTGTGGCATTCAAAATCCTGAGAAACACATGCAAGACAAACAGAGCCCTGGACCTTTGGGACAACATATTTTGGTTTATTCAAGGAATGCCTTGGCAGGATCTCATGAGGGACTGCCCTGGCCTCCCAAAGAGGCCCAAGAGCTCTGCCTTATCTTCAAACGCAGCTTTCTTGAAGTAGAAGAGCAGTCCTTTCTGACGAGCAGGCATGACAGAAGGCCAGCACAATCAAGGAACTCGTGCCTGAGCTCAAACACACACAAAAAAGTGGATGGGTTGGCCAGCAGAGATAGAGACACAGCCCAAGCATGCAGGGACAGTTAGGAAAGCCAAAGTTCAGCTGGAGTTGAAACTGGTAACAAATGTGAAAAGGGGCTTTTTTAAGTACACTGGAAGCAAAAGAAAGGTTAAAGAAAACATGGGTTTACTGTTCAACGATGCAGGCAACCTGGTGACAAAGGATGCACTTCATACTTTGAGGCTGATGTACTCAACACCTTGTTTGCCTGTTTTCACTGCCTTCAGGCCTGCCAGGTCCCTGAGTCTACCTGCAGAGTGTTACCTACAGCAGAGGAAGATCAAGTTAGCAAGATCTTAAGCCAACTGGACATACCTAAGTCCATGGAACCAGACAGGATGCATCTGAAGGCACTGAAGGAGCTTGCTGAAGGCACTGTGAGGCCACTCTACAGCACCTTTGCGAGGTCATGACCATTGTCAGTGACAGCTTCTCAACCAGGGAAACACCCTGACTTCAGAGTGTCGTTGCCTGCAACAGCAAGAACGTAGCCAGCACATTGAGAGGAATTATTATTTCTCTCTATTCAGCACTTGTGAGACTGTATTTGGAGGGCTGCACCCAGTTTTGTGCTTCCCCTTACAAGAAGGGCACTGCAGCAATTTCAGTGGAAGGCCACAAAGCTGGTTAGGGGGCTGGAGCACAGGATGTAGGAGAGGCTGAGGGAGCTTGGTTTCTTCAGACTTAAGAAGAGAAAAGGCTAAAGAGAGATCTCACTGTATAGAAACACTTAATGGCTTGAAATAGAACACAGAGTCAGGCTCTTCTTGGAGACGAACAACGACAGAACAGAGCAATGAGCACAAGTTGGAGCATGGGAAATTCCAATTGGATGCAAGAATATATTCTTTTTCTTACTAAGAGGGTAGTTAAGTATGGGAAAATACCCAAGAGGTTTGGCATCACCATCCTTGGAGATATTCAAAACTCAGCTGAACAAGGCCTTGAGCAACCTGATCTAACTGGCTGTGCTTCATGCAGGGAGCTGGACTAGAGATGTTCCTTCACCCCAAATTATTAAATGATTCTACGACTTTGCAAATCTCACAACTACTTTCCACCGGTAACTTCCTCACTAATCTGCCAAAGCAAGCCCCAACACCATCAAATGCATAGGTTGATCTTCAGTCTCATGAGCCTGGATGGAGTACAGAAGCCAGCGAAGAGGGGAGCTGAAGTGCCCTACACATCAAACATCTCACAATCATTTTATGCAAGGGCCCTCATACACCACGGCCAGCCCCGTTTATGAATCACAGACATCATGGTGCTCTCTTAGTTCTCTTCAAGTCTACTACATACCTTCAGGATGACATAAAAAGACTGTCTCTTTTCACATCTTCTTCATCTTTTTCTTGCAGCGCTGGTTGAAGACAGGTGAGGATCCCATCAGACTGTCAGCAGAATGAGAACCATAGCTGCTCTCAGAGCCGTTGGGGCTCTGCGGCATCCCAGCTTCGCTCATGCCTGACATCGGTTCCTCAAAGACATCACTGCCCAGGACCCCGTGGCCATGTACATTGGCCTCTTCATTCTCCTGTGGCTCCATTTTGACCTGTGCCAGGTTCCAGAGTGGGGAAGCATTCACCTCAGCCCCTAGAGAAGGAAAAAGCACACAGCAGCAACTGAGTAAAGAGACAAGTTACAAGCGGCAGGCAGACGCAAGGGACAGCAGCCCTGGTAAAGAACGAGCAAAAGCAGCGCTGCAGGTGACCTAGGCTGGGTCGGGGGGAAAACCAAACACACCAACCAGGGTGAAGCAATAATCTGTCGGCCTTTTTTAACAGCCCAGGAAATGCCACTTTAAAAACACGATTCTCTCCTTTCACAGCAACCCTCCACGTGGTTTTCTCCACGAGAAACAACCACTTAAAGAGCCCACGTCGCTCTACAGGAGTGTCTCAGCGGCGATGACTACACCAACAGCACACGGACTAGACCCTGCATAAGCAGGACTTAAGAGGTCATCCAGAAGTCATTCGTGATGATGAGGTCCTTGCCATACCAGCAACCTCCTTTGAGCTGCGAGACACACTAGACCTCTGGTGGTTCTGCAGGGGAGGTGAAGCGAGCAGGCCGAGGAGCAGGCAGAGGAACAGTCTCAACTCCTACTTCCAGCATTGAAACGCCGGGACATCAGAGGTGCAGTCAGCCCCCTGGACTGCCTGCCTCCTTGTGCCCGACACCCGCAGGTCTCACCCCATCCTTCAGCAGAACAGAAAGAAACCCTCTTGGCTCAACCTCGCAGATGCCTTGCTGGGAAACAGCCCTCCCTCTGCCCTTTTTTAAATTTTTTTTTGGTAAACTTTTGGACTAGGGTGCAATCTGAGCAGATTGAGGACTTTCTGCACAAGATTATGAGCCCATATTTCTTGATAAGACCACACGTTTTTCGCCCCAAGCTCAGTAATTACAGATTGCACTATTTCTGCTTATTTACAGTTTTAAGAAAGAGCCAAAAATCCTATTAAAAATACACTTAATTGGGCCCCTTGCTGAGATGGGTATAAACAGCCCTGAACTGAACAAAGCCTGAAATCTTCTCACTTTTAAACCTGGTGTCTCTTGTGTGGGGTTAAATTCACATAGAAAATAAATAAAAAACACAACTAGGAAACCAGTTTTAGCAGGTTTTCCAAACCTTGTGTCTCAAGAAGCTTGGCTACAGTTTGAAAGCACAACCAACCCTCTTGTACTGAGCCAAACCTATTACTATTCCCTATTATCAACATACTACTAACAATAGTCCCTTATTACTAACAATCACACAGACAGCAAATCTTCCCCCACGTGTTGGCACTGTGAATTCTCCCTCATGAAGGAATCTGGAATCTTTTCCAGACCAGCTTAGCCCAAACCAGGGTTTAGGAGACCTTTGTGATAATACAGCCTACATTAGCTCAGCAGTTAAACAGCAAGCCAGAATGAAAGTGCTTGCCGGTGTCCAGTTGCCTTGCTGAAAAGTCCTTTTTATGTTAATGATAAGTAAATCTATTCCTCTCAACAACAATGGACACATCATTAAAACACTATCAGTTCAACAGAGTTGCAGCTCCAGCCTACACAATAATCAAAGGTGCTCACTAAACTTACTGTCTTTCTTTCATCAACGGCTCTTCATCACTCAGCCTTAGTCCTTTCAGCTCTATCACCTGTCATTGAGAGTGTCACTAATGACTAACGGTACTTAAGCATTGACATTTCATCTTCAAAGCACACTAACTTCAGAGTACTTTACAAATGAGCTAGCCTTCACGTTATCCTGCTGGGTGGAGGAACAAGGTCCCCAATTTTGCCTCCATTTCCCCAACCGCAATGAAATTAAGCAGCCAGCCCACAACAGCAACATCAGGCGCACGCAGAAACACAAGCAGGACACCGAAGGCTGTAACAAGAGTTTTGCCCTCGGACGCTGAAGCCGTGCTGCCCTCTCAACGGGCCTCACGCTTCTATTTTCAAGATGGTGCTGTCCTAATTGCAGCAGCTTTTTCTCACTCCTTACAATATTACGCTTTCCAGCCTGCCCAGCTCTAGACTGGGACTTCTCTCAGTGATGAGATTTCCAAAGGCCCTTGTGAAGTGAAGAGGGATTTTCAGGGAGGAACAGAGCACTTGTATCCTTAATTAGAAAACATCAGCTCGGTATCAGAGAGGCAAGAGGCATTTAATATACAGCTAGCATGCTAACCTCTGGGTCTCAAGTGGTAGATGCTAATACAAAGCTTTCCATATGAATCACTAGCAACTCCAGATAGGCCAGGGGAGTCTGCTGTTCCCTCTCCCGCAAAAAGGCAAGGACTTCACATTGCAGAGCTACTACGAAAAACAGTAGGAGCTTCCAGAAAAACATCAGATGGATTTGTGCTTTTTAAAACTCAGCAGAATGTGCTATTTTTTAAAAAAATAATAACGGACTCAGAGGTACACTCTAGCCTCACTACATATGCTACTTAGTTTAGGGTTCACTGGTTTTTAACCAGATTTCTAAGTGAAACAGTTATTACTGCAGGGGTTTCCAGAGTTCTGAAGGCTCCACACAAAAATCAAAACTGCCTTTCTTTGGGAGAAGAATGTCATCTTCATTTTCCAGAAAATTTAGCACTCCTGAACAGCGCACGGGGTAAAACTTGTATATAGATACAGAAAAGGCACAGCACTATCAGATTCTCCCATGCTAGCCACCACTGTGCTTCAATGCCAACATCAAGGGACCACACTTTGAGGAAAAGAGGGCCACCTCCGTGCAGTCTCCATAACCCCACCAACTTCACTCACTGTTTCACTTTCCATGGCCTCAGCTAACTACAGCAGGCAACGGGGCAGAGATGCCAGAACAGGAGAGACTCCCACGAGCCCATTTCACAGAAGTCACTGACAAGCTTTCATAAAACAATGACTGTCACTACCACGGTGACTTCTGAATATGGAGGACTGCACCAAGTATCATTACCATTTCCATTACTCATTCAGTGCCTAAACTATATAGGGTCTCAAACTTACTCCAGTCACGAGGAACATGGCCTTCAATCAACTTTTCAGTAAAATGAATCTTTGGGCAAGTACCCAAAACTACCCAGGAAAAAAAAAAAAAAGTAAAATAAATCCAGTACTCTCCTTACTAGAAATAAGGCTAAAACTCTATAATCTCTTTCAAACTAAAATATATACACATATATAAACCCAAAAGTTATTTTTGTCTTTTTTACATCAGACTAGGAAAAAAAATACGGTACTCACACCTGCAGCAAATACCCTAGTTCACACAACAACAATAAAGCCCTTGGGCCATCACTGCAGAAAAACAAGCTACCTCACACCAATACCAAAAGCCAAGAACTTTAATAATCCCCTAAAAATAAACACCATATAAAGCACTTTGTGTTCTACAGAGTCCATGACTGGAGTAAATATTTAACAAATCCTCATAACTGATACCTTTGATTCTTTGGTTTTGTATTTGGAAAGCAAGCAACAGTTTTTCTCCCATCCAAATCTTTTTATTGAAACCTAAACGTTTTTCCTCCCTCTCTTTCCTCACGTTGGGATCTGCTATCAAAAATGGAAACAAGATCACATGGAACAGCTGATAGACTGTTTCCAGGAGCAGCAAGAAACACCCACCTGAAGTCTGCGGGGAAGCTTCTACTTCCAAGTTGGCAGAGAAGCGCTCGCTTTGAGCTCCAAGGACTCCAACGGGCAAAGACTGGTCACCAGAAGCCAGATCTCCTTCCAGCTCCTCACTTATGGGGAAAGTAATATCACTGACAGGTTCCTCCTTAATCTTCACAGGCTTTGTGTCTTCTGCTGCCTTTTCAGGGTTGACAATCTTCTCGTACTCTTCAGAGAGCTGCTTGCTAACCTGTCAAAGATCAGCGGGGGTGAAAAGGAGGCCAGGAAGGTCAGAGTGACTTCACAGACTCTGATGGCAATTACATTGCAATGTGCTCCGCTCCCAGAATGTTATTAACATCTGACCTGAACGAACAAGTAAACAGGCTATCAGCTACACAGGAAACACTTTTTTTTCCCCCCCCTTTAGGAACATCTTCTGTCCTGTAACAAGGGACTTTAATAAGAGGTTTAATCCATCAACACATCTGCTTGATAAATACGAGCACCTTTATTTCACAGAAAGCGATGAAGAGGTCCAGGAATTTAAACAGAGCACACAACAAAAGCAAATCACCTCAGTCTCACTTTTTGGTTTTACCTATAAGACTATCCCCCATCTGCCAGTAACAAATTTACTCCAGCATTTAAAAACTCCAGATATTCATCAGCTCTGTAGTCACCACTGGCAAAGCCTGGGTACCTTCTGTCAGATTCACAGCAGAAAACACAGAGAAATGAAACAAATATAAGAATGAGATTTAGAACTACCCTGTGCTTCTAGAAACTTAACAACTGTAAGCAGCTAAATGCAAAAATACAGATTTCACCCGCTTCTAAGAAATGCTCATTTATACCAGTGAATCCCAACAGCCAGGGAACTGCACTCAGGAAAGGCCCAAGGCTTTTCAGCACCAGAAGCAAGAAGGAAAAAGAATAGCAAAGCCTACTTCCCCCTTCCAGATATACTTCCAAACACAGAGGCTACTGTGGACCTCAGCCCTGCATGAAGAACAGAACAAGTAAGACAATGACGAGCTACAGGATGAGAACGAACTGCATCAGCAGAACGACGCAGAAAACCCAAATTCCAAAAGGAGACATCTGAACAAAAACGAACTGGTTTTTTTTCAACAAGAATGTTTTCAGTGAAGACAGATCTTGATGATGTTATTTTTATGCACAAGCTTCAGAGTCCACCACAATTTATACACTATGTGCATTTATAGGTGTCTCTAATTTATACCGCCTCTGTAAGACACAGGGTGCCAGCCCTAGGGGAAAACAGAGCACAAGGCAGTTGCTGCAAGATGAGTCAACTGGCACTCAGATAACGTGACAAGGAGGAAGGGATGGTTTTGCTTTTGGTCATGGGCTACCTACTTGATTCAAGTCCTGGTTTTTGATGAGTTAAGAGTAAAATTCCCACTTCAAATCCTTGCATTTCTTAAGTCCAAAACAGGCAGACAGTCTTATACCATTCAAACAAAATGCATATGTTTAATTTCACAGAGTATCTGGACCAAGAGAAACCATACCCTATCCTTATCCCGTAAGAGATATGGCACCTCTTATTAACAATTCTTCTTCTTTTTCCACAGAAGCTCAGTCCCCTCTAGAGTGGAAGGCAGCACCTGTGTGACAACTCAGGTCAGCACAGCACTACTCTATACTTTTAAAGCTTAAGCAAGTCGCCCCTTGCTTAAGCGAACACAAGCCGCTGCACAGCCAAGTAATTTTTGTTCATCTGCTTACTTGTTCTCTGAAATGGCAAGCAGCCAAATATCCCATTAAAGCAGAAAATTCAGGTAATCAGTCAGTACTGATTTCACCTCTACTTGATATTTTTGTCTCGGCCATTTGAGATCTGGGGGCCTCCTCTTATACCCAGACTAACTATCAGTAGAGTATTCTTAGCCTCAGTGGGGAAACAAATAAGGGGCTCTGCCTTCCACTCAAAAAAATCCCGTTTCTTTTCTCCTTGATGACTCCCCTCCATACCCACGAGGTTTTTCTAATCAGGTATTACTTCAGTAAGACCCAGGACTTGCTACAGGAATAGCCCATTGTGCTGGGGGTACCTTCATTGGTACTGCCAGGTCCCTACTGCTCGTCTCACCTGAAGCATGTAGCTGTGGTAGTCCTTGATGCGGTGCTGCCAGAACTTCTGCAGCGAGAGCACGCTGCCAATGCCCACCTCGTGGAAGACCTGCTCCATGACATCAGGGAAAGGGGTGTGCCCAAGTCGAGCTTCTCGATCCACGGCGAAGCGCAGCAGTTTGGTGAACTTCAAGCAGTACTCGTGGGCGATGTCTGTCAGGGTCTCCAGGACGCTCTCATTGGCACACTCAAAGCCTGTGTGAGCCAGGATGGTGGCCATCGACTGGTAGAGGAGCTGCCGGCAGGAAGACCAACTCAGCTCAGTCACTGGCTCCCCTTTTCCTCTAAAAACCAGAAAAGACAAAAACAGCACACCTCCACAAACTGAAAGGAATGTATCAGATGAAGAGAGATTGTCAACAATAAGGTGATGTACAAAGGGAAAGCAGATTGTTTGGGGTTCTCCGAAACTTCTCCGTTACAGGTGAACACTACCTGGTAAGGTTTATCTGCTTTCCCTTCCTCCCCTCCCTCCAAATCAGCACTGCCAGTTCTCATTTTCCCTTCTAATGCCAGAAGATTCCTTCGGTGATGCACGGATGTGGGATGCAAATCTTCTGAACCCTTAAGCAACTCCCTTCCCACCCAAGAGCTTTTCTCCTGGAGATGCGAATTAAATGGGTCCTTGAGACAAACAAAAAAAGGCATTTTAAATAACATGAATGCAAATCATTTCCCCTCTCAGTTAATTACATTTCTCTTCCTTATTATCTCTGATGTCACAGGCCCAATAGTCAGAAACAAAGGCTTCTGGGATAGACAAGATCTGAATTTATAACGCAAGAGACACACATAAAAAGCAAGAAACAGTTCCAAGCCAAAGCCAAAAAGACCATTTCCCCACCCTCATTTCCAGCAGTCACTAAACAGGACGCTGAAAGAAGCGCCCCCATGCGCAACCTAAGAAGTGAACACCAGGCCTGGAGAGCAGCATTCCTCAGCCTGGGGTTTGAGACCTCTCTTCTCAAGTGTTGCTACGCAGGAAGGAGTGATCTCGCGGGATGGAGGAGATGGAGAACAACTGACATGAGCACTTCAAACATCATTTGTTTACAGTCAGGCAACCGAATTTTTCATCAAGAGGGGTTAACAAATAGGAACTCCTCCACACAGGAAAAAGAGAAGATGAGATAAGGAAAGGCCTCTAAAAGGGAAACATATTTCTACCAGACTTCTCAGCTGACAATTAAATGCACATGATGTATTTGCCCGTATCAGTAACACAGTCTTCAAATGCTGATGTCAAAAAAAAATCAAATTTCCTTTCTGCTAAGTAAGGTACTTACATACTTTTTTACACTTCATTCAGCACCAATGGCAGAATTAAGCTAACAATTTCACCCTTCATTTGTTCCTGTTCAATTTCTCCCAACATCTTCCGCAGCCCATCCCGAGATTCACCTCGCTCTCACCCTACATTACTTGCGTATCACCACACACTCCTTCCAGTAACAAGACCTGATCAAACAGTACACAAGACAGCACTGACGCCTTGATAAAATTCTTGCTACTCTCGTTTCTCCAACGAGCGCGCTAGGTACCCTTCAGTCTTGCCGAGACACCGGGTCACAGAGCCTCAGCTCGCCCTGATCCTCAGGACTGACCCAGAGAAAACCACTGAAACACAGCAGTAAAAAACCCTAACATTTCAGGGGTGTGAACATGGAAGGTTAAACTCAGAGCTACCAGGACCAAAATCATTCCTTTTCAAGAACAGCAGCTCAGCACTTTTAGATTATTCAAGTAAATGGGGGGATCACACCATATTAAGACCTGCAGATGATGATATTTCTAAGTGGATATGAAGAACAGCATGTGGATCTCAGGTCACGGATTCATCCCAGTTATTCATTGCTGGAAAATGACTCGCATCCAAATTCCTACTCAATTATGTAATTACTTTGTAAAGAAGACAGCAGGCGCTCTGACAAGATGAATTAAAAGATCATCAGTTCCCTTACAAGTCAAGTGTCACCCATACTGGTTTTACATCTCCTTTACTCCCCCCTCCACCTCCCAGCGACAGATTTCCGAAGTTCACAAACAGCCATATGTCTCATACAACACTAGGACGAGGAGGTTACAACAGAAAAAAACCAACAACCAGAAAACCACCATCAAAATTTATGCCTATAAAAAAGAACCTCTTCTTTTTTAACAGACGTAAAAGACACACCTAGCTGCCCAGCAGCCATCAGTTGAGAGCATCTTAATGCTGCCAAACCCACACCACTCTTAATACAGAGACAAATAAAGAGCCATTATTCATGCTCTGCCATTCAATCGAAACACTATGGACAAACTTAAACTAGACAGAGAAATTGGCAAGCCCAAGCAGGGTACTCGTAAAGTAGAGCACAGCCACTTGTAAAGTAGAGCACAACAACCATTTAGCAATGCATATCAGTGCTCAGAGGCAGCAGAGAATGCTCTATCTCTTTTAAACTCCTAGAGGAAAAGAAACTAATTGCCAGTATTAAAATGCAGCTAGGTCACTATGCTGAAAGGGATATAATCAACTTGAAATCTAATCAATTAAACACAGAGAGAAAAGAAATTTCAGGTATTCTGTACTCCAATACGAATTCCCACCTCTTGTTCTTGGTAAGGTCAGTCAATTATGTTTTGGTTTTCTTATGTTTTCTTCTCTTGTTTTCCTGTTTCCCATAATAAACAATAGAGGAAAATGATTAAAAGCCTGATTAGACAGCAAAAATTGAAAGACTGTAGAAGTCAATAGAAAACAACGAATGAGAAAGTATCTTTCTTTCTTCATCTCCTTTAACCTTCAAGTACTGTCTGATAAGAATGCACATACACAAAACCAGCCATATAGACGCATTTAAGTCAAAAGCAGCTACCTAATATCAAGCCTTCCCAAAAAGGAGACGCAAACTTCTTTCCCCTGATGATCACAGGTAAAGAGCCTTGGTCTTCAATCTCATCCAGACACCTAGCACCTACAAAAGCACCCTTCCAGACACCATCACTATGCAGAATGCCACCTTCTGCATCGCTCCGTGCTTTCCTGAAAGGCTCCCCATCCAGCCACCATCCAAAGCCAAGCCTATTTAACGTATTCCCAGGGTCATACACCTGCAAGTGAACAAGAGCGCTTTAATCCCTAAAATTCTGTCCCCAGAGATTAACAAGACTGGCAGTTAGGCCTGTGACTTGGAGGGGATCATCTCTACAGAACAAACAGTATGAAATTTATCACAAACACTGACCGATTTGTCGCTCTTCAATTTTGTATTTCCAATAGAACCTGCATTTTTATATACGGGTCACCAACGCTAGATGATGTTCCAGACAGAAATATACCTGCCAAGCCACAAATTCATCAGACCCAAAGCCCAGCCTTTTCCCACTGCTGCCAGCAAACCCGCAACACGCAGAACTTCACAACAGGAAAAGCGCCTGCTTATACCAACGAGGCTTATTTTCAGGATTAATAAGGTTTCAGAACTCGCAAAAAAGGCCCATCTTCTGTGTCAACAAGACATTCCCCAAAGGCACCACATCCATTCACTCAAGCTCCTCCCCTGTAAGGCTGTTTTTGTTAGAGGGAAGGAGATCTCGTGGTTCATTTGCAACTATACTCAGGGGAAAGTGTTTGGGCTAAGTCAGTACAGGGATCGACAGCCGAGGTTCACTCAACTGCAGTAACAGATTGACGTGCTCTGCTCCCTCCTAGGTGAGCATAAGCTAGCAGCAGATGGAGGGAGGGATTGTTTTTCCTACAAACACATCAATTTTATGAAACATTACATTGTGGAGTTGAATTTCCACCAAATGAGGTGCAACAAGGTCGCTTCGCAGCCATTTCCCTCGCAACAGCAGAATAAAGGAGAACATTGGAAAAACAAGATTATACTAGCCAGTGCATCCAAGAACACAGCACGCTAACTCAGGCAGGAAAGTTGCTTCCTTTTGGAAAAGGGCGTCTTTCCACCTCATCCTGAGCAAGCCTCTTCTAAAATATCTCTGCTATGCCTACAGAAGGCTGCACAGGTATAAGAAGAAGCTGCTCAACAGACAACGGCAAGAGGCAACGGATAACGTTTGGAAAAGAAACTGGGCCCCAGCGGCCCAATCCGAAGGGCTTAGTCCAGCAGGGGAAGTATGTTCTGCCTCCTCCGATTTCCACTGCTCCAAATCCTTCCCAACATCAAACCTGCTATCCCACCGACACGTGCTTCCCTGCTCCTGTACAGACGTTTCTTAACCACAAGCCCTTCTGCCATGAACCATCTTCCCGCTGCAGGCGCCCGATTGCGTTCGCAGATTATCTTTCAATGCAAAGCACACGTCCGACACGGTCAGGGATGCAAGTGAGAGAATGGCAGAGAAATCTGTTATGAAACCAACCATGCAAACACAAGAAAAAGCCTCTGAAGAGGCACACAACGAGTAGGTTAGGTTTCTTTTGAAGACACATCCATGCTAGTTGGAGGAAGCTGAACAGAGAAGAAGGAAAAGCTAGCAGCCATATCATGGTAAGAGCCTCCTGTTCAAGTGACAGTTCCAAGTCTACAGTCCCTTGCTCATGCCTCATTGCTTATGCTTTAAGCTTACCTTCTGTTGTATACCAACCCCAACCTAATGTTAATCCCTTATTGTGTATTCCAAGAACTGTCACATCAACAGTTGCGAGTCACCAGGACCAGATGGTAATTCATCCAGGAATACTAAAGGAATTCAAGGATGAAATAGCCGAATAGCTGTGGTGAGTCACCTCCTGCTTTAAACTGCCTTGGCCCATGAGGACCAGAAAACAGAAAAAGGGAAAAAAGGGAAAACATTTTCTTTTAATAGCTTCAGAAGAGACGGGAAGAACTGCAGGCTGGGAAGCCTGATACGTTCTGGTGCATCAGGGAAATTCAAAGAAATTATATGAACAGAATTAGAGGATGCATGGGTAAATATGTTACACCCAGAAAGAGTCTAGACAGCTTTTGGAAATGGAAAACCTGCTCCACAAACCTACTAGAGTCCTCCAAATCCATCAACAAGCAAGTACATACGAGAACTCCACTGTGGAGCCCAGGTCTTCCCTCGGGGATCTGTGACAGAATCAAGGTTTATTTCAACATATTTATAAACAGTCTGGAAAAATGGAGCAGAGGAATAGCGTCGTGATTAAAACCGCTGGTGGTACAGACTTTGGGGGGGTTGAAAAGACCAAAACAACTGCAAAATAGCAGTAAATTAGGTTCTACCTCTTCCTCATCTCAAAAGGGATGAAGAGGTAGGAGTTACAGGTATGGGGCTGGGCGGAGGGGAGATAAACCAAAATGGATCCAGGTGATAACAAAATAAAAGACAAGGGTGTCTTTTCTGAATAACGAGGAAACAGAAGAGGACATGACTACATTAAAGAAACTTGTGGCCTGACTCAGGCTGGCCACTCCTATCTTCTTTTCTTCCTATGCCTAAATACACCGATATCCTGCTTCTCAGACCCAGGCTACTGCCAAAGAAAATCGAACTGAAACAGGGATTGAGCTGAATACCCTAACTCTGACAGCAGCACTTCAGAAGGCAGCATAAAACTAAGCACTCTCATGTTTTATCAAGGGAAAGAATGGTCCGCCTCAAATTGCTCTTACACACTAAGAACAAGAGCCAGCAAATTGTGGAACTTTATTTTTACTACCACAACAGCAGCTGCTATTCTTAATTCATGTAAGTGTCTTAAAACAGTTAAGAACAAACAGGCAACAACCAGCTCAAAGCTTTCCTCCTGGAAAAGCATAAATGTGTTTGGTTTAGCAAGCACACAATTAAATTCTAGTCTACACTGCAGCTCATTATAAATCCACTCTGTCAGCCTCAAAACATTTCATTTCAAAACTGTCTATCCAGTATTTACAACCTAGTCCTTAAACTCCCCCATGTGGCTGACTGCTAAATAACATTCCTTTACCCGGACCCCAGAAACTCCCAAGGGACCACAAAAAAAGACAAAGCAGCCCCCAAAACATGCTCCCAGCCACAGAAAATTGAAGTGAAAGCTGAAGGCACCGGGGAGGACAGTACAGAACCCTGCAGGCAGCACACCACCGCTCAGTTCTACAAACCACAGAAAGAGCTGGAGCCACTGGGCTCAGGCTTCATCCTCACAGGACCAGATTTCCCTTCACCCCTCTTGGCTAATTTATTTCTTCTGAGAAGGACGACAGTATTCCTCCACAAACAGCACTAAAGAATCACTCTGCTGTTCAGAGAGACTACGTTACCAAAAGCAACACCTTTCAGCGAAGTGCATTTTATACAACCTCAGGCCATTAAAGATCTCTGTAGCATTAACTCTTAAATTAAACTTCATTGATGGACATTTTCCCCATTTCAAAAACTAAAATGCATCACCCTCTCCCGCATCATGCTCCTTGGTACACAGTCTTTAATCTAAGAACATAAAGTTACAGCCACGAGGACTAATCCCTGAATTGAAATGCTCACAACCTACAAAGCATCACAAAATTCTGCAAGAAATGCAACACCTCCTCCTGAATTCGGTACTTGTCAGAGGGGTAGGCAGGGAGGTGGTGGCAACACCATTTAATCAGAGATTGGCTGCAGAGATAGAGGCAGTGCAACCTTCCTTTACATTCTCTCCAGCCCTTGCCCAGCGGAGCCAGCGCCAGAGACAAGAACTCCCTTCACCCATACTTGTTGCCAGCTCTGACCAGAAGAACACCAACAAACAGGGTGAAATGCGATTGTTACTGCATCACGGGGCCTCGGCCACTGAAGTCTTACAAATATGCTACCAAAGCATCTTTCCAGAATCTACAACTAAACAGCCAAAACCTAGTCATGTGCCTTCTGATTTTCAGTTACAGTAAGGCAAGTTTGGTTGGGAGTACAAGGGACTTCACATCCTGTAACTCAACTTGTCAAAATACCACTGAAGGTAGCAAAACCACCCACAGACATTTAGCATAGCACTAGCAAGACAGAAATCAGCACTACATATCCACATTTTATAGACAGGAAACAAAGGCACAACGTGCGCGTCACCCACACAAGAGAACCCTAAATCTTTCCTTTTTGACCTGTTTTATTCTTTACATACAACTGTTCGACCCATCAGCCTAAGGGAATCGACGTAACTACATATATATTTAAAAACACTCAGCTTTCCCGCAGCCAAGAACTAAGCCAAAGAAATACCAACACACCTGTAGAAATCACTCTCTGGGTCACTGTGCCTCAGCTGAAAGGGCATTTTGGGGGTTTTGCTATCCAGAGGAAGCAAGTCATCAGGGAGAGGCGGTGAGGCCGGACGAGACGGCAGAGGTTCGTTGTCTTCGGTTTTTATGCCTTCCGCTTGCTGCTGGTTTTGGGCCTGAGCCATGGCGATGAGGCTGCGCAGCCGCCGGTTGTGCTGGATGAGCTGGATGGTGTGAATGGTGAGGCTGCAGGGCTCCGAGGGGATGTCCAGCATGGTGGTCGGCCGGGGTTTGTTGGCGGACGGCTGATGCAACGGAGGATCTTGGACTTCCACGGTCCGAAACTCGCGCTGAAGCAGGTCAAAGGAGCTGCGGTTGGCCTGGTTGGATGAAACCGGGATCTCACCCCAATAGCGCAGCATTTTCACCCAGGTCACGTCCTGCCCTCAGGGCCCAGAAGACGACTTCCAAGTACCGCAGTACGAAGGAGCCTC